CAAGTTTAAGTCGCTCTCGGTGGCACTTTTCATCAGCATATTTTCGAACTCTGCGCTCGAAGCGCTACCGCCTCGACTGTTTATGTGCCTGAGGTTCCAAGACCAGCTATCTCCAATTCGTGCATTTACATCTGCACCTGCTGCGATTAGAAGCGCTACTATTCCGGCATGACCTTGGGCTGAAGCTGCCTGCAGTGCATTACCGTAGTAGCCCCCTGGGCAATTGGGGTTGGCACCATTGGCAAGTAGCAATTCCACAAGATGTTTATCTCTTCGAGCCGACGCTGCTTGGAGCGAGGTGTGGAAAAGTCCGCCTTGTACATTAACATCGGCCTTATTTTCGAGTAAAAGCCTTGCAATACGACCGTATCCGCGCACTGAAGCTGCCTGCAACGCGCTCCCATAAATTCCACACCTTTTGTTAACATCGGCTCTGTTCTGGAGCAGGAGCATAACAATTTCAACGTGGCCTCCCACAGCGGCCGCTTGAAGTGCACTACCATATCTTCCATCTTTGGTGTTACATTTAACCCCTCCTTCGATAAGCAATCTGACGACTTGTGGATAACCTCGCAAGGACGCTGCATACAATGCATTTGTATACTTTCCCCCCCGTGCATTGGGGTCGGCTCCACCCGCAAGGAGTAATCTGACAGCCTGGTCGTGGCCACGCGCCGAGGCTGCTTGAAGAGCATTGCCATATTTTCCACCCTGAGCATCAATGTCTGCACCTTTTTCCAACAGCAGACTCACCACTTTTTCGTTCCCCCTCATCGAAGCAGCCTGTAGCGCATGGCCGAGCAATCCTCCTATAGCTTCAAGGCGAGATCCATGGTCTAGGAGCAACTTTACGGCCTCCCAATGCCCTCCGACTGAAGCTGCTTGAAGCGGGTAGCCGTACTCTCCCCCAGGAGCAGCTGTGTCTGCTCCAGATCGGAGCAATATGGCGATCGTATGTGTGAGACCCGCCAGGGAAGCATAGTACAGTGGAGAAGCCATCGAAAATTCCGCCGGAAGCTCTTCCCAAGGGCGATCTGGGTTATAGAGGGCGCCCCATAACTCCCTGGTGGTTTCGCTCGAAAGAAATCTTATGGCCGCCTCGCTGACAGTAGGGCTTTGGTCGGAGTTACTTGCATATTCTAGCCAGTACCGGGACGAGAACAGGGCAAGTGGGAAGTTAGCTCGGATGACATCGCGAGGTTTACCCTCACTGAGGTAGGTGAGGTAAGCTAGGCACACCATGGCAATAACCCCCTGAGCTTTCGATGAATCTGCAATTTCGTAGAATATATTTGTTTGTTCCAGGGACCTAAGGAACTCTTTCACTGTCGCATGGGCCAATTCAATTGTTACAATTATGTTGTTGTTGTCTTTCTCGTCCACTCTCAACGCTCGAGTGAGCAGACTCGGGCATATTTCTAAGATACCTTGAGGATCAGGCATTCTGCGTTCGGACTCAAAGGCTGGCTGTCTGGACAAGTCAACGGCGGCTGCGTCAATTAGTTCTTCGATTTGTAGAGGCCGTCGGCTGTAGACGAGAAATTGTAAAATCCGCACCACTCTAGAGTGATGTTGATCCCCAATGTTCTGTAGAATCCTCTCATAGACACCCTTTAGTGTTGTTGGCAATCGTTTAAGCTCGTCCTCTACTTGTCCAAGGTCGACGCAGGTTTTAAGAACGTCTAGTTGACAAGCAGCAAGTCGAAACCTATATATATCACGATTGTCAGCTAATACCAGATACTAGGCAAGTAAAAACAACATTTCGAAGACTCACATTCCGTCAGCGTTTTCGAGGATTTTCTTTTCCATTTTCAGGATGGAGTCTGGAAATTTGCTCCACCTCTTGAAACCACGATCCTCTTTCAAGACATATTTGGTATATGCAATAATATCAATGTTGACGATATCCTTCTCTATTGTGACGAAGTCCCTTTCATTAAGCCAATCTCTCATCTGCATCTCGATCAGCGACTCATCACGGCTAGTGACTAGAAAGCTAATTTTTTCAAACTTTTGACTGAGAGACCGGGTGAAGTCGAGCAGCGCGTCTTGAGTGCTAGATTCGTCTAAAGCATCAAGGATAATCTTGATATTTTGTCTAGCTGAGCGCATCATGTTTAAAAATATCTTCACTAAGTCTTCTACTGAAGGAAGCCTGGCACGACTTTCATACTTTTCAGAGAAAACTGCGTTCAGGAAAACTTTAGATTTGTCGCACACTCGGTAGAGCTGAAATATAAGAGACTGAAGTAAGCTCTTAAGCGTTTGTTTCTCGGAATCGCGGGTATCGAAAAAGAAATATAGAGTGTAGGTTTGGTCGTCGCTTTTTTGTTCTAGAAACAGGCTATGGATGATTTTGGCGCTCAGTATAGTTTTGCCCGTGCCAGGTATACCGCGTATCCATAGCTTGCAATTGTCTCCAGATTTCCATGTTTCAAACTGTTTCCCATGAAGAAACCATGAACCCGTACCCTCATAGTGGGCTTCTAAAGCTTGCATCAAATTGGTTTCTGGGTCGGGAGGTGAAAGCCACTTCTTAATTTTCTCATTTTGCGCCTCTAACTGAAGCCTTGTCATTCCAGTGCTAACTTCGTTTATTTTCCGTTCGACTATAAAATATCTTAGCGAGTATTCTACCTGGACACAAGGAATAAACTTACTAAAGCGTAGATGACCAAGCACTTCCGCTGCCTTTGGATTATTCTGAACTTCCAACGGATGAACAAAATCCAACAACTCTTTTGCACATGCAGCCGCGCTGGCAGCTGCATATCGATGCCATTGGTCATTTTTATGTGAATCTGCGTAGTCTGAAATCCCTCGTATAACGATACATGGGAAGTTATTCATTAAGCCGGCTGCTTCCATTTCAAGACATATGGCATTATGATCTTTTCTAATTTGATTCCTTGTCAGCGCGTGCTTGACAACCTCCGATCCAGTTGCGATAATCCCATAGTGAACGACGGGGGTGCTACCGGTCCGAGATTGGGAATTTCTTCGGATAGTTTTTCCGGGATCACAGTCTTTGCAGGTTTTACCACCTTGATGAAGATAGTCTGCAGAGAAAAGAACATCCATGTTTGACCCAGGATAGGTCCACTGTGCTCTCTTGTTCTCGGAAAACTTTTCAAGCATCTCTTTAATATACTTGGGTATGAGATTGTCCTGCGACTCGTGCCTTGCTTCTAGATTAGCAAGCGCAGTGCGCAGCACCCGTGGGGGTTGGTTAAGGTGATATGCCACCTCGAATGACCCATCTGCAAGCCGTTTCCCGAAGTTATATGCAAAAACGCCGCCTGTTTTCTTATCGCTGCTAATCACCACATCGCCGAGATGGATATCATTTTCATTCTCATCGCAGTCCGGAATACCTGCCCCAATTCCAACCATTAAACCAATCCGAATATTCGGGAAGCTAGCCAGCATGTCATTGGCAACCAAGGCGGCAGAGCTTGCCCCGATCTCTCCCTTGGGAAGACATGCTATAACAATATTGTGTTGTTTTATACGCCCAAGCACGTAGGTGTTATTATCTCCTTTCCTTGGCAAGGTTTGTGGGTTCCCGTGCTCCTCATCCAGCATTCCTTTCGCGGCGGCGAGTTCCAAGGGCAGGGCTGAGATCCAGCCTATCTGGTAGTCGTCATTAGAGAAGAGAGAAGCATCTTCAACCTCAATTTTCTGAGAAACTTGAGAAGCATCTTGAACCTCAACTTGCTGAGGAAGTTGAGAAGACTCATCGAGCCGTTCGTGTGGGGCTGGAGCTCGAATGGTCCTCCCTATTTCTGGTCATAGCGGCGGCTAGTGTCAGAACACTCGGATTTAGGTTTGAGAGCGCGGTACTCACGAAAGAGAAATTCATTAATGATTGCGTTCAAGATGAAGCAAACTATTTGGTATAGTGACCACATTTGTTCCACCAGACTTGCTCGCAGAAACGCCAAGATTCTACTCAAGTTAAGCGGTCAAATACGCTGAACTTTACACATAGAGTAATAACTTTAACTATCGGACGGAGATCGTCGTTAAGAAAAGCTTAAGAGGCCCTTGTATCGGAAGCTAAGAGGCGGGGTGGTCAGCGGGACACTGCTTTATTCGGTATGTGGGGGTAAGATATGCTCGTTACCAGATCTGCAGAATCATGGATCCTTTTAAAGGGACCAATCATTGAAAGCCCAAATCAATCACGTGACACTGCACAAATGGCCTCGGTATATGCATAGTTCTCTGGGATCTGAAAATTACGGTTCCTTATAAGGCGGCTCCGGTGCCTTCATAGCATAGGGGACTAGTCTAAGACCTATCCGGGATTAGCACCAGCCTCGTAAAGCAGCCTCTCAAAGGTGATGAGTCCTGACTCCCGGCCTCCTGTCCCGTGGAGAGCTCAAGATTACTACAACACCACCAATTCTTTCCAAGACGCCAATCTAACATGTCCAAAATTGAGACTTCTGAATTATCGTTGAACTAGATAATATAATACGGAAGCAGTTGCCTAGAAATATTTTAATGTTCTAAACGTAAGGACCAAGATGCTACTTCTGCACATCTGTCTATGCAGAACCAACTGGACTCGACCACTTGAGACCTAATTTTAGTTCCTGCAAGAAAAAAACATAACTCTTCTATTCGGAAACGAAAGTTTGGGAAAGGCAGCGGCTCCTCAGTCAGTCGCTTTCAGGCCTGTGTTTAGCGATTCGCAATCCGATCGATTCGGCCCCCGTTTGCGCACATCTTGTATGCTCGCCTATTAATATTCTCCCAGAGTACTAACAACCGTAGTACTTTCGACTTGGTGAGGGAAACCCTATAACTATTGTTGTTAAGAAGGTTATTTACTTGGCGGGATTTGCTTATAGACAGTTGTGTTGTGCCGTGTTGGATTTCGAAGGTGGTTTCGAGGAAGTTTGGCCCGAGATTGAGGTTGACATCTTCACCGTGTTGCAAATGCAAAATTGTTTGAGTACCGCCTATTTTATCATTCAGATATCAACACAGGCAAGATGGCCGAGTGGTTATGGCGTGTGACTCAAGCGAAAGCTTCACTGGCTCAGACAGTGTGTTCTCATGGGCTTAGCCCGCAGGGGTTCGAATCCCCTTCTTGTCAATACTTTATTTTTTTTTATTTTATTTTTTTTTGTTTCCAAACCTTCAACCACACAAATAGGCTTTGCGTCGTTCCGGCGATCCGGTGTTTAGTCGAAAGTTTGTCTTTCAAAAACACCGCTTTGCCAAGTTTGGCAACACTTAAAGTTCCAGAGTTATGGAGCTCAGGATGCCGGAGTCAGCAAGTCTTGATAATTGTGTGTTTCTATGTCTAGTAATGGAGGACTAAATCCGTCGCAGTTATGCACATATACATCTGTATACATTCATTTAACCGTTATATAACTCTTCCAATTTACAGAAGTATCCCCAAATTGTATTTTGTGCCAGGCTCGTATTCCTTCACGCATTTTTTTGCTAGATTTACTTAACAATATTAAGTAATCTAATTGCATCAGAACAGATTTCGCAATTACTGGCGCTTTCCAGTTCTACAATGTGTAACTTTCAACAAAAGCTTTTTCCCCCCATAAATTTGGGTCTTCAGCCGTGCGCACGCGCATCGTGGTCATGCTGTTTTCGGACGGAACGTGTGTTATTTTGTGTGTTGGCTTGGCGTAACTATCGAATAAAATCTAAGAGATGTGAGATCAGCTCTAGTCAGTTAGGAGTGTCCAAGTTTCTCTATACGCATCTCCATTACAAGCGCAGATGCGCTATTCGCTTTGAGCGGCGAGCCATGGATACTTCCCAGATTGAGTGGATGAGCGGGGTAATGGATACCCCAGAAAGAGCCCCAGGAAACACCAGGAATCATCGAGGTCTCTGTCGTGTATTCGCGAAAACGAGAACGATCTGAAAGTGGGACGGCGGATTGTAACGATAATTTACTCCTCGCGGCAAAGAGCAAGCGGCAGGCAAATGAGCCGTTACATCCCGCTCTCCTAACACTCAGTAGCTTCAAAAATGTGGAGACCTGATATCCCGCTGATATTGCGACCGAAGCACCTGCTCCACCCGTCGAGCCGCTGTACCAGGTCATGTACCCTAGAGCATATAGAGATACAGGGCCCAATGGTAACATGGTTGAATAGAGCGCTGGTATTGACCATGTATTTGCGCTACAAGTCGTTTCTTTTATGTGGTCATTCAGCTTTATATTCGTCGGCCCTAGAAACCCCACGAATGCAGAGCAGTCTCGTGGCATGTTAGGCCCATTTAGTATCGGGGATAGTCAGACCCCAAGTGGCCTTTACGCGATTCTAAGGTTTCTTGACAAGTTGTATGCATACAAGGTTTTAGTCTGGTTGCCTGGTATGCTGGAGCGAAGCGTGGCTCAGGTAGGGGCTAGCGAACACGCAAGGTGCGATGGGGAGAACTCGTACCGACGCCGTCTCCTTACTTCTTTTTTCTATATTTTTCTATAGAAGTTTATCGAGATCACGTATTGATTCGAAGCCCTCGATTGATTATTATTTAGTCGGTAAGGCCCTTCGATTCTGCTAGTTGCCCAGACACTGGCCGAAAAAAATGGAAGGACCGACGAGACCAGAAGCGTAACTCGGTAATCCCACGATGTTTGGTCTCGAATCAGTGGTAAGAGTACGCGGAGGCTTTTATAATTTATCGTAAGAACTTCAATCCGTTGTAGTATGCAACTGCTTCAAGGAGCCAAAAGAAAATCCGTTCTTACAAGAGAACCAAATTCCCAAGATTCCTTGAGCTTGGGCGAACTCGGAGCTGAAAGCCGCGAAGTTAGCCTACCCAGTACCAATATATTCTTGGCGGTCTTGTCAGTGATATCTGTGGTTACACAGATAGCCGCCAAAATCCAACACTAGAATCACATAAGGCTTTTCGATTTCGGCGGCGTGCACAAACGAGGTCAACCTTGAGCCTCCTGTCTCCGTATGCAAAGTTTGTCACCGATTTCGTTTTATCCACTTTTGGTGAGCTCTGCCAACGCGAGAAACTCCTAAGGATCTGTTTGCTGATAACAAGAAATTTGTTTCTGTCCTAATGCCTGTTGACGTGTCGCGCCTCCTCCTCGGAATATCGCAGCCTCGTAGCATCGCGGGGTAAGATCATCTCGACCTACGACCCTTGCAAACCCAGTTGATAATTTCCAAAACCATACCCTTCCATCTACTAGATTTAAGATCTTGTCTCACGCATAGACGTACACCACAGAAACCCGTACTATCCTTTCTCCAAAAATATGGGTCGGCAACTCGATAGCGAGGACTACACGATTGCCTTGATATGCGCATTACCTCTAGAGGCCGCGGCAGCAACCGCAATTTTCGACGAAAAACACGACGCACCGCGATTACAAGGCCAGCCGGACGATAACGCATACGTATTCGGTCGAATAAGTTACTACAACGTAATTGTCACAACTCTTCCGGCTGGCTGCTATGGCACAAACTCTGCGGCAATCGTAGTAGCCAGAATGTGTAGTAGCTTCAGATCTATAAAAAGCGGTTTGATGGTGGGCATCGGAGGTGGGGTGCCGATCAAAGCCGATATCAGGCTCGGTGATATAGTCGTTAGCCAACCGGGGCTAGGGTTCGGTGGTGTATTACAATACGATTTTGGAAAGACAGTGCCTGGTGGATTTTTTCAAACTGGTTCTCTAAATAATCCTCCGCAGATCTTCCTCAGTGCAGTAGCTGAGCTGCAGCGAAAATACTTCGAACCTAGGTATGACCCCGTCAACGAGATTATAACCGAGATCCTGAGAAAGGGGTCACTCCGTGGGGAATTTCGTCGCCCGCCTCCAGAAAGCGATCGCCTTTTTCGCGCAGAGTATTCCCACCCCTCCAAAAATTCATCATGCGACGAATGTAGTCCGGAGGAGGTAGTTCAGAGGCTTCCCTACTCGCGCTCGACAGATAAATCGCGCATCCACTATGGACTTATCGCATCTGGCAACCAAGTAATGAAAGATGCTATCGCCAGAGATAATATAGCCCAGGAGAAGGATGTCTTGTGTTTCGAAATGGAAGCCGCCGGGTTGATGAATCAATTACCTTGTTTGGTAATTCGGGGGATCTGCGATTACTGCGATAGCCACAAGAACAAGATATGGCAGCATCATGCGGCATTAGCCGCTGCAGCCTTTGCAAAAGCGCTCTTACTCCAACTGCCAAGTAAGAGCGGTGATCCCAGCCTCGCATTGGGCCCTCCTTAGTTTTGGTTGTATATACTAACTTCAAAAGCGCCAACGGTTCTAAATGAAGATAGGCAAATACAAAACGATCAGAAACGAAAGAGGAGGTACTCTGATTCGGGTGGGTCTTCTTTAATTCGGGACTGCTTGTGCGGGCTTATACTGACTGTTCCATTAGATAACTACAAGTCCGCAAGGACTAAACAGATAAATTTCACGGAAATACCGTCTGTTCGAGACGCGGAATTCGATTCATATGCCGACGAACTGGATGCTCGCTGCCATCCCGACACGCGAACAGATCTACTGCGGCAAATCGATCAATGGGCTGAAAGCTCGCAGGGAAAATGTATATTTTGGTTGAATGGCGTGGCTGGCACCGGGAAATCTACGATTTCTCGAACAGTTGCTCAACGCTTTCAAGATAAAAGCCAATTAGGGGCAAGCTTTTTTTTCAAGAGGGGTGAAAGTGAACGTGATAACCCTTCTAAGTTTTTTACGACGATCGCTATTCAGCTTTTACGCGTGATACCTGACCTGGTACCTCATATTAGGAATGCGATTGATAAAGAACCTGAGATTGCAACGAAGTCACTAGATAGGCAGTTTGAAAGTCTTATCTTCCAGCCTCTTCAGAAGCTTCACCAAATCTCGGCACCACTGGTCTTAGTCATCGATGCATTTGATGAATGCGAAGATGAGAGAATCAAACAAGTTCTTTACCTTCTTGCGAGGATGCGAGAGCTCACAACGGCAAAGATCCGAATATTTCTAACCAGCCGGCCAGAGCTCCCGATTCGCCTAGGGTTTGATCGTTTATCTCCCGGTACCCACGAAGGCATAATACTCCAAGAGCTCCCTCCAGATACGATTGAACATGACATATCAGTATTTCTGCGAGCAGAATTTCATAAAATTGTATTGAATTCTGAGGAGCACTCAGCAGACTATCAGATTTCCACGGATTGGCCCAGCGAAGAGAGCATCAGAAAGCTAACCCAATTGGCAAAACCTTTATTCATTTTCGCGGCGACTCTATGTCGGTTTATCGGAGACAATTTAGACTGGGACCCTAAAGAAAGATTAGCTAATATTTTAAACTACGGGACCACAGGAGAGGGGTCCCAGCTGGATCGGACATATCTTCCCGTATTCAGACAGTTTGAGTTGAGCCGTTCTAAACTACAGCTTAAACGTTTCGGTCAGGAATTTAGAAAAATCGTAGGCTCGATCGTTAATCTCGCGGACCCGCTATCTGCGTCATCACTCGCAGGACTCCTAGGTAAATCTAAAGAGGAAATAAACAGCAAATTGGGCGGCCTACATTCCGTTCTTAGCGTTCCGTCCGACTCAAATCTGCCCATTCGACCGCTGCACCTCTCGTTCCGAGAGTTTCTTGTTGACCCGGATAAAGAAAATGATGACTACTGGTTCTGGATTAATGAAAAAGAGACCCATGCAATGATCGCGGCAAGGTGTCTCGAGGTACTATTTGCAGGTCCTAATAAAGAATCAAAAAATAAACGGTCAATTTTCGAAGGTCTTAGGGAGAATATTTGTTCCTTGGAGTATCCCGGGATGCCACGAAAAGAGCTCAGCAATGCCAGAATCTGCGAGCGCCTTCCGAAGCACGCCCAGTACGCCTGCCGCTATTGGGTCTATCATTTGAAACATAGTGGTAGACGCATAAATGATGAAGACATAATTTACGAGTTTCTATCTACGCACTTCCTACACTGGCTGGAGGCTCTAAGCATTTTAGGACGAATATCCGACAGTATAGGCTTTGTTGATACTTTACGTTCACTTGTAGCCGTAAGTCACGCTAGGCTTTACACTACTTTCAAGAATTTATTGTAAATGCTAAGTTTACGGATCAGGAAAACGAG